AATTATTGTATTACAATTAAATTTCTATTATGATATATAATATAATATTATCATTTGTATTATATTACATTGGCATTATGTTATTATTTAATTTGTATTATTATATTATTTATTTTATATTATTTTTTGTATTATCTTATTATTATATTATGTTGGCATTATATGATTATTTGATATTATAGCTATTGCATTACAATTATATTATTATATTATATTTGCATTATTATTTTATTTTGTTTGCATTGCTATATTATAATTATTGTATTACAATTAAATTTCTATTATGATATATAATATAATATTATCATTTGTATTATATTACATTGGCATTATGTTATTATTTAATTTGTATTATTATATTATTTATTTTATATTATTTTTTGTATTATCTTATTATTATATTATGTTGGCATTATATGATTATTTGATATTATAGCTATTGCATTACAATTATATTATTATATTATATTTGCATTATTATTTTATTTTGTTTGCATTGCTATATTATAATTATTGTATTACCATTAAATTTCTATTATGATATATATTATAATATTGTCATTTGTATTATATTATGCTGGCATTATATTATTATTTAATATTACAACTATTGCATTACAATTATATTTATATTATTATATTATATTGGCATTATTGTATTATTATTGATATTGTTTTTAAATACTTATTACATTATGTTATTATTATTTTTATATTATATTTTATAGTAATATTATTTGCATTATTATAAGAATATTATGTTGGCATTACTATATTATTATTTATATTACAATTATTGTATTACAATTATATTTTTAATATTATTTGTATTATATTATTTTATGTTATTATTTGTATTATCTTATTATTATATTATGTTGGCATTATATTATTATTTGATATTATAACTATTGCATTACAATTATATTTATATCAGTTGTATTATATTTGTATTATTATTTTATTTTGTTTGCATTGCTATATTAAAATTATTGTTTTACAATTACATTTCTATTATGATATATAATATAATATTATCAGTTGTATTATATTATGTTGGCATTATTATATTATTTATACTATAAATTTTATATTATGTTAGATTATATTATTATTTGTTTTAATATTATATTATGTTGGCTTTACTATATTATTATTGCAATTATACTTATTATTTATATTATTTTATTTTATTTTATTATTATATTATTTTGGCACCCTTGTATTATTATTTATATTGTTTTTAAATATTTATTACATTATGTGATATTATTATTACTTTTAAATTATATTTTTATAGTAATATTATTTGCATTATTATAAGAATATTATGTTGGCATTACTATATTATTATTTATGTTATAATTATTGTATTGCAATTATATTTATTATTATTTTTATTATTTTATTTTATTATTATATTATGTTGGCATTATTGTATTATTATTTATATTGTTTTAAAATACTTATTACATTATGTTATATTATTATTATTTTTATATTATATTTTTATAGCAATATTATTTGCATTATTATAAGAATATTATGTTGGCATTACTATATTATTATTTATATTATAATTATTATATTACAATTATATTTTTAATATTATTTGTATTATATTATTTATTTTATATTATTATTTGTATTATATATTATATGGTGTTGGCATTATTATATTATGTTATATTATTACTATTAGCATTATTATTAGTATATTAATATTAGTATTATTAGTAGTATATTATTATTTACATTATTATATTGTAATTTTATTATATTATTATATTGTATTATTTATATTACAGTATTTGAATTTTTATTATATTATTATTATATTATTATTATATTATTGTATTATTATATTAATTATATTATATATTATTATTATATTATATATTATTTATATTATATATTATATTGTATTATTATATTATATAATATTTATATTATATTATAATATTATTATTATATTGTATTATTTATATTATATCACAGTATTTGAATTTTTACTATATTATAATATTATTATTATATTGTATTATTTATATTATATCACAGTATTTGAATTTTTACTATATTATAATATTATTATTATATTGTATTATTTATATTATATCACAGTATTTGAATTTTTACTATATTATAATATTATTATTATATTGTATTATTTATATTATATCACAGTATTTGAATTTTTACTATATTATAATATTATTATTATATTGTATTATTTATATTATATCACAGTATTTGAATTTTACTATATTATAATATTATTATTATATTGTATTATTTATATTATATTACAGTATTTGAATTTTTACTATATCATAATATTATTATTATATTGTATTATTTATATTATATTACAGTATTTGAATTTTTACTATATCATAATATTATTATTATATTGTATTATTTGAATTTTTACTATATTATAATATTATTATTATATTGTATTATTTATATTATATCACAGTATTTGAATTTTTACTATATTATAATATTATTATTATATTGTATTATTTATATTATATCACAGTATTTGAATTTTTACTATATTATAATATTATTATTATATTGTATTATTTATATTATATCACAGTATTTGAATTTTTACTATATCATAATATTATTATTATATTGTATTATTTATATTATATCACAGTATTTGAATTTTACTGTATTATAATATTATTATTATATTGTATTATTTATATTATATTACAGTATTAGAATTTTTACTATATTATATTATTATTACTTGGAGGATTATTCCATTTGCCAGAGAGATAGGTTAATAATAATAATAATAATAATAATAATAATAATAATAATAATAATAATAATGTCATAACAATAACAAAAATCCTGCTTTCATCATCATCACAATAATAAAAATAATAGAAATAACAATAGAAATGATAGGAATAATACTAGCAATAATAATAATAATAATAACAATAATAATAATAATAATACTCTTCTTGCGGGAGCCCTTTCCAGCCCGTCCCACCCAGCCAAGGCTTCTCTATTCTCCTCCTTCTTCTCCTTCTTCTTCGTTAATTGCTGGCAGGCGACCGGTAATTAAAACTTCCATTGTGACATTTCCTGACATCTCAATATCAAACGCTGCAATTAATCCCAGCCGACGCCTCGAAGGAAGGTCGGTCGGTCGGTCGGTCGGTCTCTGCACCAAGAAGGAGGAAGCAAGGAAACAAACGCAGGCATTAAACAAATCCCATTCTTCCTCCAACAGACTCCTAAGGCCTCCACAGAGCATCATTATTACTATTATTACTATTATTATTAGGCACAGGAGACTTTCCCAGCATGCATTTGGCAACACATCAATTATTATTATTATTATTATTATTATTATTATTATTATTATTATTATTTGTTGCCAAATGCATGCTGGGAAAGGCACCCATGTCTCATAATAATAATAATAATAATAATAATAATAATAATAATAATAATAATAATAATAATAAGAGACATGGGCACCTTTTCCAGCATGCAATTGGCAACATATTATTATTATTATTATTATTATTATTATTATTATTTGTTGCCAAATGCATGCTGGGAAAGGCACCCATGTCTCATAATAATAATAATAATAATAATAATAATAATAATAATAATAATAATAATGAGACATGGGCGCCTTTTCCAGCATGCAATTGGCAACATATTATTATTATTATTATTATTATTATTATTATTATTATTATTATTATTTGTTGCCAAATGCATGCTGGGAAAGGCACCCATGTCTCATAATAATAATAATAATAATAATAATAATAATAATAATAATAATAATAATGAGACATGGGCGCCTTTTCCAGCATGCAATTGGCAACATATTATTATTATTATTATTATTATTATTATTATTATTAGTTGCAAAATGCATGCTGGGAAAGGCACCCATGTCTCATAATAATAATAATAATAATAATAATAATAATAATAATAATGAGACATGGGCGCCTTTTCCAGCATGCAATTGGCAACATATTATTATTATTATTATTATTATTATTATTATTATTATGAGACACAGGAGCCTTTTCTAGCATACATTTGGCAACACATTAACTATATTATTATTATTATTATTATTATTATTACAAGACACAGGAGCCTTTTCTAGCATGCATTTGGCAACATAATGATGATGATGATGATGATACGAGACACAGGAGCCTTTTCTAGCATGCACTTGGCAACACAATAATTATATTATTATTATTATTATTAATAATAATAATAATAATAATAATAATAATAATAATACGAGGCACAGGAGCCTTTCCCAGCTTGCATTTGGCACCCTTCCTATTATTATTATTATTATTATTATTATTATTATTATTATTATTACTATTATTACAAGACACAGGAGCCTTTTCTAGCATGCATTTTGCAACCCATATAATAATAATAATAATAATAATAATAATAATAATAATAATAATAATATGAGGCACAGGAGCCTTTTCCAGCTTGCACTTGGCAACACAATATTTTATTATTATTATTATTATTATTATTATTATTATTACTATTACGAGGCACAGGAGCCTTTTCCAGCATGCATTTGGCAACACAATAATTATATTATTATTATTATTATTATTATTATTATTATTATTATTATTATTATTATTATTATTACGAGGCACAGGAGCCTTTTCCAGCATGCATTTGGCAACACAATAATTTTATTATTATTATTATTATTATTATTATTATTATTATTATTATTATTATTATTATTATTACGAGGCACAGGAGCCTTTTCCAGCTTGCATTTGGCACCCCATTAATTGTGATGACTATTCCTGCTGCTCCTCCTGGTGCATTAATCCTTTTCCGGCTGCTCTTCCCACTCCTCCTTCCCTCCGTCTCCCTTTTCTCTCCTTGCCCAAAAATACACAACAATGCCATCTTCTTGGGAGGAGAGGAAGCCGCGGGCGGAAGGATTTCTGGCATGTTTTTTAATGGTTTTTGGCTCCGAAAATAAGGGGAGGAAACAAGGAAAACAACCCGAAAAGGAAGGAAGGAAGGGGAAAGGCACGCGCTTGCAAAGTTGGGAAGGAGGGGCATCTTCACGGAAGACAAGGCTTTCTTCTCCTTCTTCCCGCCCGGCGTTCTCCTCGAGAACAAAAACAACAATATTTGGGGGAGGGGGGGACAATAATATGGTCCAAAGGGAAGGTTTTGGGGGTCGGAACCCCCTTCCGGCTTGGCTCAAGTCCGTTCGGGAGAACTACAGATCCCAACATCCAGCGGGAACCGGACACACTGCAGAAAGAGAGAGAGAGGGCATTATATGGACCTATATAGTTTCGAAAGTCCTTATAGGGTCAGTATAGATCTATACAATTGCATTGAAAGGCATTATATGGGCCTACATAATTTTGAAAGTCCTTATAGGGTCAGTATAGATCCATACAACTGCAATGCAAGGCATTATATGGACCTATATAGCTTGGAAAGTCCTTATAGGGTCAGTATAGATCCATACAACTTATAGGGTCAGTATAGATCCATACAATTGCATTAAAAGGCATTATATGGACCTATATAGCTTGGAAAGTCCTTATAGGGTCAGTATAGATCCATGCAACTTATAGGGTCAGTATAGATCCATACAACTGCATTGAAAGGCATTATATGGACCTATATAGCTTGGAAAGTCCTTATAGGGTCAGTATAGATCCGTACGACTGCATTGAAGTGCATTATATGGGTCCATATAGCTTGGAAAGGACTTATAGGGTCAGCATAAATCCATACGATTGCATTGAAGGGCATTATATGGGCCTATATAGCTTGGAAAGTCCTTATAGGGTCAGTATACATCCATACAACTTATAGGGTCTGTATAGATCCATACAACTGCATTGAAAGGCATTATATGGACCTATATAGCTTGGAAAGTCCTTATAAGGTCAGTATAGATCCGTACGACTGCATTGAAGTGCATTATATGGGTCCATATAGCTTGGAAAGGACTTATAGGATCAGCATAAATCCATACGATTGCATTGAAGGGCATTATATGGGCCTATATAGCTTGGAAAGTCCTTATAGGGTCAGTATACACCCATACAACTGCATTGAAGGGCATTATATGGGTCGATATACCTCGGAAAGGCCTTATAGGGTCAGTATAGATCCATACAACTGATTGAAGGGCATTATATGGACCTATAAAGCTTGGAAAGTCCTTATAGGGTCAGTATAGATTGATAGAACTGCATTGAAGGGCATTATATGGGTCTATACAGCTTGGAAAGGCCTTATAGGGTCAGTATAAATCCATACGACTGCTCTGAAGAGCATTATATGGGTCTATATAGCATGGAAAGCCCTTATAGGGTCAGTATAGATCCATACAACTGCACTGAAGAGCATTATATGGGTCTATATAGCATGGAAAGCCCTTATAGGGTCAGTATAGATCCATACAACTGCATTGAAGGACACTATATGGACCTATATAGCTTGGAAAGTCCTTATAGGGTCATTATAAATCCATACAACTGCATTGAAGGGCATTATATGGGCCTATATAGCATGGAAAGTCCTTATAGGGCCAGTATAGATAATAAGAACTGCATTGAAGGACATTATATGGACCTATATAGCTTGGAAAGGCCTTATAGGGTCAGTAAAGATACATAGAACTGCATTGAAGGGCATTATATGGGTATATATAGCTTGGAAGGGCCTTATAGGGTCAGTATAGACTCAGATAACTGCATTGAATAGCATTATATGGGCCTATACAGCTTGGAAAGGCCTTATAGGGTCAGTATAAACCCATATAACTGCATTGAAGTGCATGATATGGGCCTATATAGCTTGGAAGGGCCTTATAGGGTCAGTATAGACTCAGATAACTGCATTGAATAGCATTATATGGGCTTATACAGCTTGGAGCAGCCTTATAGGGTCAGCGCAGACCCATATAAGGCAGTTGCAGCGCGTGATATGGGTCTCCTCTGCATTTTACGGCAATTTTGGGTATTTCGGGATTCCGATCAGACTCCGAAAGGCCCCTTTCCAAACCAGGAATGCATCTGCTTTGTCTCCAAAACAAATGGGGAATAATCCCATTGGTTCCGGAGTCGGGTGGAAGGCCTTCGAGCCTCGACTCCTGACATTTCCACGGTCCTGCTATTTGATTTCGATCCGCCACCGCGGATTATGCGATTTGCTCCGGAATGTTCCGACTCCGATGCCCTTTTGTTGTTCCATTAGGAGGCTTTGCACTGCAGTTGGAATATATATATATATATATATATATATATATATATATATCCAAAAATATATATATTCTCTTTTCCATTTGCATATATTTGCATATATTTCCATTTTTAAATATTGTTTTTATTTCCAAAAATATATATTCTCTTTTCCATTTGCATATATTTGCATATATTTCCATTTTTAATTTTATTTATTTTTGGATGGCTCTTTTATTTATTTCGCCAATTAATATTCGCTGCTAAGGTTGCAATGTTATAGAATCAAAAAGTCACTATTTATTGGTAATTAATTACAATATAATTTGCCCTTTGGTGCCACCATATGGCCACCTCTGATATTGCAATTCATTGTTAACCATTGGAAAGCATTGCTCTTTGGCGCCGCTAAGTGGCTAACCCGATATTGCAACATATCTTTTCCATTAATATATATATTTTAATTATATTATTGTATATTATATTATTGTATATTATATGTATATACACAATATTGTATATACATATATAAATAAAATATAATATATAAATAAAAATGTCATGTTCATTTGTGGGATTAACATAACTCAAAAACCACTTGACGGATTGACACGAAATTTGGACACTATACCCCTAACAGACCAACAAGTGACCATCACTCATAAAATCCGCCGCCGCCCCCAAAAAAGAAACAGCAGAAAGACCTAAATGATGAAAAGCTAAATGATGATAAAGGAAAAAAGGGAAGGAAGAAGGAGGGAGGGAAGGAAGGAAGGGGAGAAAGAAAGAAAGAAAGAAAGAAAGAAAGAAGGAAAGAGGTAGAGAAGGAAGAAAGGTAGAAATAAAGAAGAAGAGAAAGAGGGAGGGCAAGAAAGAAGAAAAGAGAGAAGGAAGCATGTAAGCAAAGAGCAAAGGAAGGAAGGAGAGAAAGAAGTAGGAAAAGAAAAAGGGGGAAAGAAAATAATGAAGTAGAGAAGGAAGGAAAAAAAGAAAGAAAGAAAAAAGGGAAGAAAGGAGAGAAGGAAGGAGGGAAAGAAGGAAAGAGGGAGGGAAGGAAAGAGAGAAGGAAGGATGGAAGCAAAAAGTAGGAAGGAAGGAAAGAGGTAGAGAAGGAAGAAAGGAGAGAAAGGGAAGGAAAAGAAAAAAGGGGGAAGGAAAGAGGTAGAGAAGAAGGAAGGAGAGAAGAAAAGAAAAAGGAAGGAAGGAAAGAGGAGCGAAGGAAGGAGGAAGGAAAGAGAAGGAAGGATGGAAGCAAAAAGGAAGGAGGAAGGAAAGAAAAGAGTAGAGAGGAAGGAAAGGAGAAGAAAGAGGGAGGAAAAGAAAAGGGGAAGGAAGGAAAGAGGTAGAGAAGGAAGGAAGGAGAGAAGAGGGGAAGTAAAGAAAAAGGGGAAGGAAGGAAAGAGGTAGAGAAGGAAGGAAGGAAGGAGAGAAAGAGGGAGGTAAAGAAAAAGGGGAAGGAATGAAAGAGGTAGAGAAGGAAGAAAGGAGAGAAAGAGGGAGGTAAAGAAAAAGGGGAAGGAGGGAAAGAGGTAGAGAAGGAAGGAAGAAGAGAGAGAGGGAGGTAAAGAAAAAGGGGAAGGAAGGAAAGAGGTAGAGAAGGAAGGAAGGAAGGAGAGAAAGAGGGAGGTAAAGAAAAAGGGGAAGGAATGAAAGAGGTAGAGAAGGAAGAAAGGAGAGAAAGAGGGAGGTAAAGAAAAAGGGGAAGGAGGGAAAGAGGTAGAGAAGGAAGGAAGAAGAGAGAGAGGGAGGTAAAGAAAAAGGGGAAGGAAGGAAAGAGGTAGAGAAGGAAGGAAGGAAGGAGAGAAAGAGGGAGGTAAAGAAAAAGGGGAAGGAATGAAAGAGGTAGAGAAGGAAGAAAGGAGAGAAAGAGGGAGGTAAAGAAAAAGGGGAAGGAAGGAAAGAGGTAGAGAAGGAAGGAAGGAGAGAAAGAGGGAGGTAAAGAAAAAGGGGAAGGAGGGAAAGAGGTAGAGAAGGAAGGAAGGAGAGAAAGAGGGAGGTAAAGAAAAAGGGGAAGGAGTGAAGGAGGTAGAGAAGGAAGGAAGGAGAGAGGGAGGTAAAGAAAAAGGGGAAGGAAGGAAAGAGGTAGAGAAGGAAGGAAGGAGAGAAAGAGGGAGGTAAAGGAAAAGGGGAAGGAAGGAAAGAGGTAGAGAAGGAAGGAAGGAGAGAAAGAAAGAAAAAAGAGAAGGAAGGACAAGGGAGCGAAGGAAGGAGGGAAAGAAGGAGAGAAAGAGGAAGGAAAGGAAAGTGAGAAGGAAGGATGGATGGATGGAAGCAAAAAAGTGAAGGAAGGAAGAAAAGAGGTAGAGAAGGAAGAAAGGAGAGGAAGAGGGAGGTAAAGGAAAAGGGGAAGGAAGGAAGGAGGGAGGAAAAGAAGGAAAGAAGGAAGGATGGAAGAAAAAAGCGAAGGATGGAAGAAAAGAGGTAGAGAAGGAAGGAAGGAGAGAAAGAGGGAGGAAAAGAAAAAGGGGGAAAGGAAGGAAAGAGTTAGAGAAGGAAGGAAGGAGAGAAAGAAAAAAAAAAGAGAAGGAAGGACAAGGGAGCGAAGGAAGGAGGGAAGGAAGGAGAGAAAGAGGGAGGAAAGGAAAGAGAGAAGGAAGGATGGATGGATGGAAGCAAAAAAGCGAAGGAAGGAAGAAAAGAGGTAGAGAAGTAAGAAAGGAGAGAAAGAGGGAGGTAAAGAAAAAGGGGAACGAAAGAGGGAGCGAAGGAGGGAGGAAAAGAAGGAGAGAAGGAAGGATGGAAGCAAAAAGCGACGGATGGAAGAAAAGAGGTAGAGAAGTAAGAAAGGAGAGAAAGAGGGAGGTAAAGAAAAAAGGGGAAGGAAGGAAAGAGGTAGAGAAGGAAGGAAGGAGAAGAAGGAAAGAAGAAAAGGGAAGGAAGGAAAGAGGGAGCGAAGGAAGGAGGGAAAGAAGGAGAGAAAAATGGAGGGAAGGTTGGCCAACAAACACATGGTGGGTACAGCTAGTAATATTTATAATATTATAATGTAATACAATATAATAACACTAATAATAATAATAATATGTTATTACAATTATATATATTTTAGTGCCACCACATGGCCACCCCTGATATTGCAACACATTGTGGGTACAGCTAGTAATATTTATAATATTATTATATTTATAATATTATAATGTAATACAATATAATAACACTAATAATAATAATGTGTTATTACAATTATATATTTTAGTGCCACCACATGGCCACCCCTGATATTGCAACTCACGATGCTCAAGAGAGAGAGATTCATTGTTAACCATTGGAAAGCATTGCTCTTTGGCGCCCCTAAGTGGCCAACCCGATATTGCAACATATCACTTCCATATATATATATATAATTATATATATTAGGGTTAAGTGTACTGTAAACTTGTGTATGTGTATGTGTGTGTGTGTGTGTGTGTGTAAAATATATCTTACCTCCCAGGCAAGGCCTCCAATACAACTGGGGATGATGGGAGGCGTAGTGTCCATTCCCTTTGGTCCAGTCTGCTCTTGGAGGGGAGGGGAGAGGGATTCCGGCCACAGAAAGGGGTCGCTCCCAAAGTCCGAAAGCAATGTGGCCAGCGGTCATTGTCCAAAGGGCCATTCCTCCTCCTCCTCCTGATTCTCCTCCGGCTGTCCTTTGCTCAGAGCCAAAGGGAGAAGAAGAGGGCCAAAGGGGCCGAGAAGGGCCACAAAGTCCCGGCGGACCCCCTTGCAGGCCGTTCTGCCGGAGAGAAAAGGGAGACCCCAAAAATAATACTTTAAATGCAATTAAAAGGTGTGTTTCTACCAATCTTCAAGTCAATGCTATGTGGTGATTGAGTAAGTCTGCCACCCACAGGCCAAGGGTGGTATGGCATTCTCAAATATTCATATTTAATAAGATTTAATATTTAATAATAATACTACCAATATTAATATATTATTAATATATTATTGATATTAATATATAATTGATATTATTATTGACATCTTATTAAGTAGCAATACTTGTTCAATAGTATTTCAGTAATAATTCTATCAATATTAATATTTAATAGGATTCCAATAATAATATCGATAATAATATTTAATAGGATTTCCATAATACTATTGATATTAATAAAATGTTATAGTACAGCTTTAAATATTATTATTTTCTGCCTATGTTTATTGTTTGTTTTACTTTTATTTGACGTGTAATAATAGATATTAATATCAAGTATTGATACTTAATAGGATTCCAATAATCATAACAATAATAGATATTAATATCAAGTCTTGATACTAAGGATTCCAATAATAATAATAATAATAATAATAATAATAATAATTGACATTAATATCAAGTAATGACACTTAATAGGATTCCAATAATCATAATAATAGACATTAATATCAAGTATTGATACTTAATAGGATTCCAATAATCATAATAATAGATATTAATATCAATCCTTGATACTTGGGGTTCCAATAATAATAATAGTCATTAATGTCAAGTATTGATACTTAATATGCTCCCAATAATAATAGATATTAGTATCAAGTATTGATATTTAATACAATTTCAATAATTATAGATGTTAATATCAAGTATTGATACTTAATAGGATTCCAATAATCATAATAATAGATATCAATTAATATCAAGTATTGATACTTAATAGGCTCCCAATAATAATAGATATTAGTATCAAGTATTGATATTCAATAGGATTTCAATAATTATAGATATTAATATCAACTCCTGATACTTAGGGTTCCAATAATAATAATAATAATAATAATAATAATAATAGTAATAGATATTAATATCAAGTATTGATACTTAATATGCTCCCAATAATAATAGATATTAGTATCAAGTATTGATATTTAATAGGGTTTCATTTATTATACGTATTAATATCAAGTATTGCTACTTAATAGGAAGTCAATAATAATATCAATAATATATTAATATCAAGTATTGATATTTAATAGGGTTTCAATAATAATAATATATGTTAATATCAAGTATTGATACTAATTAGGATTATAATAATAATAATAATAATAATAATAATATATAGATTGATATTAATATCAAGTATTGCTACTTAAGAGGATATCAATAATAATATCAATAATATATTAATATCAAGTATTGATATTTGATAGGATTTCAATTATTATTGGAATACTTAATAGGATTCCAATAATAATAATGATAATAATAATAAATAGATAGATATTAATATAAAGTATTGCTACTTAATAGGATGTCAATAATAATATCAATAATATATTAATATCAAGTATTGATATTTAATAGGGTTTCAATAATAATATATATTAATATCAAGTATTGATACCTAATAGGATGTCAATAATATCAATCATTTTATATATATATATATATATATATATATATATATATATATATATATATTAATATCAAGAATTCATATTTAATAGGATTCCAATAATAATAATAGACAATATCAAGCATTGATACATAAGAGATTCCAATAAAAATAGATATTAATATCAAGTATTGATACTTAATAAAATGCCAATAACAGTAATATCAATATCCATCTCAAGCAATAATATTTAATAGGATTACAGCAATGATAATAATAATATTGATATTAAGTTGATACAGAGTATATGGTATGGTATGGCCTAGTATAGGGAATAGTATGCATTTGGCCAGAAACTACAACTTCCAGAATCCCTTACTTAGATGGGGAACTTGAAACTCACAATAATGTAGGGAGAGGGGGACCTCGAAACTCACCTTCTCCCTTTCCGTGCGGCTGCGATTCCGGGGCTTCCGTGGCGGTTTCTGTGGCTGGGAATGAAGTAATATATATTAAACAATATATATTATTTATTTATGTATTAATCGGGAGAACTAGAGCTTGCCAAGTTCTACACATTCCCCGCTCCCCCCCAAACTACAAATCCCGGGTTTCGACCATACCCCAAAAACAGTGTGATCTACCCCTCTTTCCTCCCATTGTATAAATGGGACTTCAAAAAAATATATTAATTATTATTAATAATAATTAATTATTATTAATTATTATTATATTATATAAACAATATAATTATTTTATTATATAGTTAATATAATAATTAATAATTAATAATTTATTCATATTATTTAATAATAAATATTAAATAATATTGTGATTACCCCTCCTTCCTCCCATTGTATAAATGGGACTTTAAAAATAATAATTAATTATTATTATTAATATTAATATTAATAATTAATTATTATATTATATAAATATAATAATTATTGTATTATATTATATTGTCAATATAATAATTAATAATTATTATTAATAAATAATATTAATAACAAATATTATTAATTTTATTACTGATTATTAATATTATAATGATAGGAAAGTATATGTTTGGGGGAAGAGGATGGACGAACAGACTTACTGGTTGCCTTGCAGCAGACAGACAGCCGCAGTTTTAAACACCGCCCGGAGCTCCCCGGATTGGGAACAGCTGCCAAAAAGGGAAGGAAAATGGGAAAAGTAGAGAAAGAAAGGATTGCAAAAAGGAGCCATGTACATTGCAACTGATGACCACAACTACAACTCCCAGGGTCCCAATTGCAGTGAAGAAACAGTGCGGGAGGCTCTGGGTCCTTGGGAAAACTACAGCTCCCAGGATCCCCATTGCAGTGCAATGCAGGAGGCTCAGGGTCCTTGGGGAACTACAACTCCCAGGATCCCCATTGCAGTGCATTGCAGGAAGCTCAATTCCCAGGACTCCCATTCTCAGTGCAAGGGCTCAGGGTCCTTGGGGAACTACAACTCCCAAGGACCCTGAGCCCTTGCGCTGAGAATGGGAGTCCTGGGAATTCCACTGCAGTGCAATGCAGGAGGCTCAGGGTCCTTGGGTAAACTACAACTCCCAGGATCCCCCTTGCAGTGCATTGCAGAAGCTCAATTCCCAGGATTCCCATTCTCGGTGCAAGGGCTCAGGGTCCTTGGGGAACTACAACTCCCAGGATCCACATTGCAGTGCATTTCAGGGGCCCCAAGGTCTTTGGGTAAACTACAACTCCCAGGATCCCCACTGCAGGAGGCTCAAAGTCCTTGGGGAAACTACAACTCCCAGGATCCCCATTGCAGTGCATTGTAGGGCCCCCAAAGTCCTTGGGTAAACTACAACTCCCAGGTCCCCACTGCAGTGAGGACGCAGTGCAGGAGTCTCAGGGTCCTTGGGGGAACTACAGCTTCCAGGATCCCCAGTGCAAGGGGCTCAGGGTCCTTGGGGGAACTACAACTCCCGGGATCCCCGCTGCAGCGCAGTGCACAAGGCTCAGAGTCCTTGGGGAAACTCCATCTCCCAAGACGCCCCCTCACTCACAGATGTAGTAGTAGTCGTTCCCGGGCTGGAACTCGAACCCCAGGGAGTAGGGGGTGAACTTCTGGATCTTCTCAGAGAAGCGGACGGCGCCGAAGGGGGCGAAGGGCCGGCTGCACTCCCAGCGGCGGAAGGCGGGCGGGGCGCCCCCCAGGGGGGACTCGGAGGGGGAGCAGGTGCGGAAGGCCTCGCGGCCCACCAGGAAGAGCACAAAGGCCTCCGGGGCCCAGCCCGGCCCAGCCTGCGGGGGGCGGCGCTCATAGTGCGGGCAGAAGACGTCCACGCTGTCACCCAGAGAGACCTCCAGCGCGTAGCCCTCCTCCGCCAGGAAC